ACTGCAAATGCCAGGCTGCATGGGAGGTGAGGAGTCACAGCTCCCAGTCATTCAGATAGGGAGATGCAGGTGGTGGAAGACTGACCCGGGAGGAGAGCACACAGGGCACAGTGTGACCACCACCCACCCCCGAATGCAGCCCTGCACCAACCACTGTCATCCTGAGAGAAGCCACCTCATCATCTGCTCTCCCAGAAGACGCCCGCCAGAGGCTCAGTGTCACGGCCCCGAGCCCAGGCTGCACAGTGACCAAGCCCAGTCTAGCAGGGACCCTTCCCAAGGGCTGTCCCCACCGCACCTTCATCCTGGGCGTGGGACGCAAGTCTACTCCGTGTGCTCCCTCCCCGAAGGCTCCCGGGGGCTCCGGGAGGGAGGAGGGAGCTTGGCAGACAGCAGCCATCATGAAATAGAAACGCTCAGGTTTGCAGGAGAAACAATAACCAGACGGAGAGCTCGACAGCATCTGTTGGAAAACACTCTGCTTCCTGTTGTGCAAATGAACGCACGGCGGAGGGTCTGTTTTGCCTGTCGCAGTGTGCGCCTCCAAACACTGTCTCTGAGGTGACTGTCTCCTTTGTCTCCTGTTCCTGTCGCCGCCTTCTTCAGGGCTAAGTGGGTGCTTTCCAGGGCGTCACTTTCATGCTGTTGACTGTTTTCCTGGATTCCATCGTCATTTTCCTAGCAGTGCCATGGGTGTCCCTGCAGTCCCTCGGGGAGACTCTTCGAGTCCCGGCAACAGAGGGTCTTCCTGCACAGCCAGTGACCTGGGGCCAGAGGGGCTCCGTGGAGGCATCGCCAGCAGCACTGTTCAGAGACCTGGGCAGGCTTCCGCCTGGTTTACCGATGGTGTCTCCCTCTCCCTCTCCTCTCCGTCTCCCTCCCTCTCTGCCTCTGTCTCTATCTCTCTATTGGTCCCGGAGGGACTCATCATTTCCGCACACCTGGCCTCCACCGGGCCCTGCTGTCCACTCTGATCCTCTCTCCCTCCTTGTCACAGACCACAGCCTTGTCTCACGGGGACAGAGCCCACTATGGCTGCCAGGGGTCAGCACAGAGCCACCCTCACCCAGGACAGGCTGCACCCGAGAAACCAAGTATAGAAGGGAGGGACCATCTCCAACTCCTCCGGTGCAGAGTCCCAGCGAGGGACGACTCCAGCTGTGGTCAGGGAAGGAGCTGGGCCTGGACTCGCACAGGCCTGGGTCAGCAGCTCCAGCACACAGAGCCCAAGTCCCCAGGAGTGCTTTGTCCCGCTGGCCCAAAGCCGCCTCTGTCACCAGGTGTGATGACAGCTGAAGCAGGTCCTGCGGCGTCTCTGCTCCTCAGATAGTTTTCTCTGCGCTGTCAAGGAATCAGACCAGACACTGCCATGCCAATAAGCACGCTGTGCATCTGACCCTCCCCGGCCACCACGGCAGCAGCGTTTCTCGCCTCCACGGAGCCCGCCTCCGGTGGGGAGGGCAGTCAGCCAGAGCCCGCACATTTCCTCAGCCTGCGGTTCCTGCAGCACTGCGGGAGCGGACGAGCAGAGCCAAGGCCTGCACAGAGCTCTCGGCCCTTCCGGCTCAGTGGCTGTGGTGGCTGGTGGGCTGTCGAGCGGAGCAGGCTGCGCGGCCGCATTCGGAGGGGCCGTGCGTTGGGCTCACAGTTCCCAGAAAAACCCGTGCCCCTCCTGTTCCAGCGCTGCAGGTCCACGTGGGGTGCATAGGGTAGGACTCGCTCAACCCACTCGAGTGGCCCCGACTCCTTTCTAGAGAAGGCTGTGGATCCGCTGTTCTCCAGGAGACGAATTATTTTAAAAACCAGTCTCCAGCCCACAACACTTGTGCTTTATGCAGGACAAGCCTCGCCTCTGGGTGTCAGCAGAAGATGACGTCCCCCTCCCCACACCTGGACACCGGGCCTCACCCTGTGGACTGGGTGTCGCCTGGATGCCCTCAGGGGACACTCGGGAACTGCCCCCAGCAAGGTGCAGTCTACAGGGCACAGACTTCCTTACTGGATGGAAGCAGCAGCCTGGTTCCCAGGGCTCAGGGACACCCGGCACCGGGCGATACTCGGGGTGGCTTTAACATACTGCTCTTCTATTTTAATTGGGGTGGCCCTCAAGAGGGCTCTTCAGTCCCTCCACCTCTCCAGGTGGTCCTCACTGTCCCCTCTCCGTCTTTCATGTTTCCTGCCTGACCCCTGAGGCAGCCGACTTTCCACCCCTCTTCTATGTAGACATACACACAAACAGAAATGGGGCACAGGCTTAGAAAGCCCAAGTCAGGAGGCACAGATGAGTGCAGAGATGGAAAGACTGCAGGCCCATGTGTGGGCTCCTTGATGACCCCCTACTCATCTCTCCGCCCACCCCTCCACTTACCCACCCATCCACCCAGCCACCCACCCAGCCACCCACCCAGCCAGCCACCCAGCCACCCAGCCACCTTCCATCCATCCATCCATCCATCCACCCACTGAACCATCCACCCACACAGGATTTTCCAAGCCAGTGCTAGGTCCTGGGCAGCACTCTAACACTGGCAATTCACCAAAGACAGAAAGACAACCACCCTGCCACCCTGAAGCTCCTCTTCATCGCCTGCAGGTTGAAAGGAACAGAAGCCAGACAGACCTGGGTGAGTTCTGCTCGCAATGCTCTGGGTTTGTGACCTTGTGGGTGAAGCTCACTCTCTCTGAACTTGATTTTCTGATGAGGAGTGCAGCCTGTGGGCTGTGTTAAAATCGAAAGTGCCGCTGCTGTGTGTAACCCGAGCCCTGATCTCCACTGACAGTGGGGAGGGCAATGCCACAGGGTCCTGCCCTTGACTGTGCGAGGACACCCTCCCTCCCGGCTGGGGTGAGCTCTCCGGCAGGAGGCAAGCATGCTGGAGCCAGAGCCAAGCTCTGCCCTCGCTCCAGGATGTTGGTATTCCAGCCTGTATCTGAGAGCAGCCACTGGTAAGCCGGCTGGGGGGCAGTAACGGCAGATTGCTACTGATGCTCAGAAGCCCTGGGTCAAAAGCCGTCTGAGAGCAGGATGGACATCGTGCCACCAGCCCACCATATTACGGGTCACATCCCGGCTTGAGCTCTCCGAGAGGTGTCCAGAGACCTCGGCACAGAGAGGCTGAGGCCCCTGACAGCAGACCTGGAGTCCTGGGCACATCTGGGCCGAGGTGTGCAGGAGGAGAAAGGGCTGACAGCCCTGCACGGGGGGCTCTGAGCGCAATCAGTTGGAGGAGGCTCATGGGGACACGGGCTCCGCACAGTCCGTGACAGGAGAGTGGTTTGGGACTCAGCCTGCTCCATCCTCGTCCCATGAGCCGGCGGGGTGGGGTTGCTGGCCTCCTTCGAGCCTGGTCTTCAAAGGCCAGTCTGCCTCCTCCCATTAGCTCGGCCCCCAGCCTCAGCAGCAGAAGGGGTGAGCCAGGCCGTGAGCACGGGGCGCCCACAGCCAGATTGCAGGTGGTTTTGCATCCTCACCCCAGATTCTTGTGTGAGGAAACCACTGCAGGAGGTCAGGCCCCCAAGAAGGGACCCCGAGACAGGGATGTGCTGGATGCACTGGACGCACTGCCCTCCCAGTGGCCACAGTCATTAGGTGTCCACAGTGGCCTCCAGAGCCTCTGCCTGTCAGGCACCAGGGCGGGGCAGGGATGACGTCACCTGTCAGGCACACGGCTGGCACCCCCTGTGATCAGGTAGGTCCCCGCTGCCAGCATGAGGGCGCCAGTATGCCCCTGCCGCTGTCCTCGGCCTCCTGTCCCCAGAGAGGCGTGGGATGGCTCAGAACAGCTGGCACAGAGGCATCACTGCCCTCCAGAGAGGAGTAGGGAGGACGTTCGGGTCACTGTGCAGATGACACCTGTGCCCAGCTGCTGTCCGCTCCCCGCTCTCCACTTCCTGGCCTGGGGGTTGCTCCCTCCCAAGGTCCATTATGATGTCCCCAAGTGTCTCTGTCCCACTGGCGCTCAGAGGGATGCCAGGCCGCTCTTCAGCACCTCCCACTCCGTGAGCCGCAGGCGGTCCCTCCTGATCCCTGCCGCACAGAGGGCCAACACCACCTCCTGGTGACACTCCCTCGTCCCCAGCCCCGCGGCGCTAAGCACCGCTAGCGGCCACACCTGCCGTAATTTCACAGAGGAGGCTCCAGCTCGAGGCCCTCATCACAGCCCAGTGCAAATGCCCGCTCTGCTGCCTCCTCGCCCTTCTCAGCGGCTCTCTGGCTCCTAAAGCCTCAGCCAGACACGCCACCCAGCTTCCCGGGATCTCAGTGGGCCTCTGGCTGCCTGGCACACAGCTCCGCCATTGCTCTAAACGCCTGCTGCCCGCCGACAAAGCAGGCTGCATCCGCACCCTACCTGGCCAGTCCCCAGGGCCACTTCCCGGAGCTGCAGCCTCTCCACTGCCAGAAAAGTCTCCTTTGTAGTTTATTAAACTCTTTATAGCTCCAACTAAGTCTGGCCAGAGTTTATGATCAACACAGTGAGTTATGACCCCTTGCTCTCTTCTCTCTCAATGTCTGTCTCTTAAAGGCCCGAGTGGGGAAATACTGCCTTAATAACACAGACCAAAGACTCTGCCTCCTGACGTAGCTCCCAGCCCAGGTCCTCTGACCTCCCACGCTGTCCTCCCGGGGAGGGACACCTTGATGTCCCAGGTGTTCCCCTTCCCGTTGGGCAGTGAGCGTCCCTGCTGTGGTCTGTTGGGGTCACAGACGTGCTGGGCCACGCTTCCCTCCCGCCTTCTGAAGGCTCTTAGCTCTATGCCCCCCACTTCCTCTCCTGTGGGCAGGATCTTACCTGTACCCCCAGACCCCAAAACCATGCCAACAGGAGCAGATGACAGGCCAGGCTCACAGGCCTACACTGACGTATTTGCACGTCACAACTACATTTCTATTAGCAAGGAAAGGCCGGGGATATAGCTCAGTGGCACAAGCGCCTGGCTGGTAAGCACAAGGTCCAGAGTTTGATTACCAGTACCAAAACAAAAAAAAAAAAAAAAAGAGAGAGAGAGAAAGAAATTAATATTAGCAAGGAAACACGGGGGTGGAGGGGGCCTTCCGTGACAGCCCACACTGCAGTGGCTGTGCCGGAGACACCATCGATTATGCTGCCCCGAGGGTCTACTAAAAGGACAAGAGCTGGGCTGGCACCCACATCACAGTCACTCTCCACACTCCCTCGGGTGTGGGAGCACCGACTGGCCCAGTCTGCTTCTCCACGCTTTGGTGTGACAGGCGTTTATCTTGACGGACAGCTGCTTCCCGATAGGCGGTAGCAGTCTCACCGATCAGATGACCCACTTTGGAGACTGTCTTCCAGGCCCTGCAAATGAGCAGCTGAGCAGCTGTGTGATAAATGTGGGACTCTCGCAAATCACGTGGTGGGAGCCTAGCTGTCCACTTCCTGGCACGAGCTGAGAACAGCAGCGGCCCGTATGTGCGGGTGATGGACAGTGACCCTGAGGGGAGCGGAGGTCCTCCTGTCCCACGAGCAGCTGCCGTGGCTCTGGCCTCTTCAGGCCTGGACTGGGTCCTGCAGGATCACAGCGGGGGGCCCTCCCGTCCACACCTCTGCTCTCTGGTCCACAGGACTAGTGGTTCAGAGCTTCCCTCTTCGTTCTGCAGATGTCTGCTAAGCACCTGCTGTGTGCCACAAGCCCCACAGTGCCCAGCACACAAAGGCACAGGGATCTGGCCGCACAGCGGGAAGACAAGCAGGCCCCGGGGACACTGAGGATTCAGGTGCTCCATGGAGCAGGACACAGCCCGGTGATCCCACCCAGCCCAGGAACTCAGGAGCCCTAGAGAGAGCAGGAGGGAGAGGGGACGGGGCTCCTGGCAGAGGAACACAGGTGCAAAGGCCCTGGGGCCAGGACAAGGGTAGAGGGGACAGAGGAACAGGACAGCACTGTCCATGCCAGCTTGTGGGCCACCAAGAGGGGAAGGCTCACAGCACAGGAGAGCGAGGGCCAGACCTGCCCCTGATGAGGGTACTCGCAGGCTCATTCTACTGTGGGAGCAGGGAAGGGCTGGGCCCAGCAGGAAGGCCCGCAGCAGTAGGGGAGGTCTGGAGGGGCACGCGGGCCTGGGGACACTGGAGGGGAGCCATCCAGGAGCAGCATGCTGGGCCCAGGACAGTCGGGAGGGAAGAAATCAAGGGTCTCCTGACCAGACGAGGAGACAGCCTTGGACCATTCGCTGTGGGGGGTTGTTTCCCCCTCCACGGGTCTGCTCTGCACCCCACAGGCACCTGTGGAGATCTCGGGCACCTGGAGAGGGCTCTCACCCTCAGAGCAGCTCCGCTGCAGACCCGAGAGCTGAGGCTGCGAAGGCCCTGAGTCTTTGCGGAAGAGTGGAGAATCCCGCGTGTCGCTGGATTATCTGACTATCACTGAAGAACAGCATGTGCCTTGGGCTCGGAGGGGTTGGGGAGGCAGGCCGGTGGGGCAGGAGTTGACTGCCTCGGCCTGGTGGTCACAATCCAGTCGCCCTGGCTGGACCATGCTCTGCCATCTCTGCTCCCACCCTCTTCTGCGAGCTCTTTCAGGGTGCACCAGGTGCTGCGTCTCAGCCTCCACAAACAACAGTTGAATGTTAAAGACCCGGAGAAGCCTCGTGAGCAGTGAGAGCTCATCACCCACCCACAGCTTAATGAGCGTACACTCCGCCTCTGGATGGCGGGACCGCCAGCTGGAGACGCTGACTTCTGGCGGTACCAGGCCCACGAAGCCCTGGGGACCGGGGCCAAGGCCTGGGGGAGGGGGCTGAGGGCCCAGGTAACCCAGGAGGGCAGAGGTTCCAGGGTGTACCTTGGAGTGACTGGGTCCCCAAGAGCATGGGCTGGGGGAGGGCCGGGGGAAGGGGCGGGGCAGGATGCCCACCTCAGGCACCCATGATGCCAGCTGTCCATGACTGGGCTGAGGCCAGCCTTGCCTCCTGCAGGTCTTCCACAGCAGCAGGCGGGCACTGCACATGCCGGAGCCTCAAGGGACCCTCGGTCTTGGACTCAGCCCCCAGGCGGAGCCAAATGGGCCTCGCTGCTTATCAGCCCTATCTCGGGAGTGCAGCTATAACAGCAGAGCCAGACTGAGACGCATGGTGTCTGGAGTCTCTGCAGAAGAGGTCTGGGCTCCAGAGACCCACCGCGTGCACCATTCAGGGTGCGAATGGAATTAAAGTAAAGCGCCTGGCTCAGTAAACGTGTCCTGTCTTGTCCTCTCCGCTCTCCTCCCCTCTCTGCCCCGCCCCCTCCCCTCCTCCCCTCAGTGGAGGCAAATGGATTTTGATTGGATGTGGGCACACAGGTTGGTGCTGCCAGATGGTCTGAGGTGAAGGAAATGGAGGAGGACAGGACTTGCTCTGTGTGGCGACACTAACGCTCAGATCTGGCTCGCAGTGGGAGATGGACTTGCAGCTTCAGTCCAGACTGCTCCTGCCGGTGCTCACCACCAGGCTGCTCCATCTGTGTCTGCAGCTCCTGGGGCCGGAGTGGGCTGGAGCACAGCGGGAGGCTGATGCCCAGATGCACCTGCTTTGATACAGACAGAAAGATAAGCTCTCCGTGATTTATCCCCACTGAGCCAGGCTTCAGGGCCCCTAGTGCATCTAATAACATTACCTGTTAGAGTGTATTAGTCAGGATTCTCTGCAGGAACAGATGCGATGTAAATACATATATGCTCATACATGGGACTTAGGAGGTGGCTGGCAGGATCAGGAGCGGAAGAGTCACGGTGGCACCTGCCGACTCAGAGATGAAGAATCTGAAATGGCGGTCTGCACCAGAAGCAGGCGAGGGCAGGGGGCCTGGAGCTCACGGCAGTCACCAGTGCGTCTGTGTTGGAAACCCATGTAGTGTGCATTGGAAGGCTGAGCAAACCGGAGACCAATGTCCAAAAGCAATGGCAAAAGCAAGAGCTCCTCCAAAAAAAGGAAACACTTCCTTCTTTGGGGTTTGTTTATTTGTTTCTTTGTTTTCAGAAAGGGTCTCATTATGTAGCCCAGGCTGGCCTCAAACACACAGTGATCCTTCTGCCTCAGCCTCCCAAGTGCTGGGATTATAGGCATGCGCCACCAAACCCAGATAAGACTTCCTCTTGCTTTCCCTTTTTATTGTGTCCAAGCTACAAGCCTATTGGTCAGTGCCACTCACATTCAGGGTGGGTCTTCTCCCACAGGTCAATCATCCACAGACACACCCAGAGTTTACTAACCTGCTAGGGCTAAACAATTCAGAAAATTTTGCTGGTGACTAGAAAGGAAGCACTTGTAAAATTTGGGTCCTGTAAAGTCTTATCCAAAGAGTACTTTGTTGCTGGAAAGACTGGCATTATCATGAACCCAAGTACTTTCCATCCAGACATTAGGAAAGATGCTTTGAGGACATCTCAGGAGTCAGCAAGGCCCCACCTTTCAAAGGTTTAGGTTGCAAAAGTGAAAGACTTTGTTTTGAGAGGAGCATGCCAGGGCATCCTGCTCCAGAAGGACCACCTAGCACACTGGTTCCCTGGGAATCATTTCACAGTGCTCAGCCAATCAGGCACTAAGAATCTTCTGCAGCTATGACTCAAGGGGGCCCAGCTACTGCTCCAGCTGGCAGCAGACCTTGGCATAATCCACAAGGTTCTGGTTTTATGCGCATGCAGAATGCAACAACTGTGGGGTGAAGGAGGCTTCTACCCAGATTTCATAAGAAGGCCTAGGAGGTCAGGAAGTGTACCCCTGAAAGGGCAGTGCATGAAGCCGTGAGAGTGAAACCAAAAGTACAGTGGAGACTCCAAGAAAGGCAGGAACAAAACTTCTGCTGAGGAAGGTCTCAGACAGTGAGTAGGGCCACCCCCAAGAGGCCAGTCATGAGGGCTGCAACTAGCAGTGCAATTGGGGCAGGACTGCCCAAGCCTTTTGCACCTCACATCTTGCCAAAACTGGCCCCAGGTGCTTAAAGTTTGCCCCGCTGGACTTTGGCCTTGCTTTGGTCCCATTCCGTTCTATCCCCCTATTCCTTGCTTTAGAATGCAAATATTTACCGTGTCATTGTATGTTGGCAGCATTTAACTTTCTTTTGATTTTTAAAGGGCTTACATCTAAGAGTTCGCCTTGACTCTCAGAGGAGACTTTGGACTTGGGATTTTCAGCAATGCTGAGGCTGTTGAAACTTTGGTGACACAAAGAGATGAATGAAATGCAGGGTTTTTTTGTCTTTTTGAAATAGGGTCTTGCTATGCAGTTCAGGTTGACCTTAAGCTAAATTTCTTACAGAGATATACGTGAGTCTTCTGAAAGCTAGGGGTGGAAACTTATGATTTAGACGTACAATGCCCCCCAAGTTCTAATGCACCTAGATTGGATCTGGAGGCTCCTGTGCTCATCGGTAGACTCATCACTGGTCCGTTCCCTGCTGAGTGTGCTGTTAGGAGGTGGGCATGCTCAGGAGAGCTGAGTCACTGTGGGCGTCGGTCACTGTGGGTGCCTCTCCCTCCATGGCTCCTCCTGTCTCTCTCTGCTTCCTGGCCACCATGATAGAGCAGCTGTCCTCCACCATGACATTTCTGCATCAGAACAAGCCAATCATGGGCTGAAACCTAGAAACGGTGAGGCTAAACAAACCTTCCTCTTTTAAATTGTGGGTATTGAGTCTTTTGTCCCAGTAACAAAAAAATGACTAAGACACTAACGAAGAAAATGTGGAACTGATGCATAAGAGCTTGGGCACCAGACAAGAAAAGGACACACTTTTCTGCAGTGACTTGACACTGCCCTGCTGCCCTTCCACAGAACGCCACCAGGATGACAAATGATTTCCAGTGTGGCACCGAATGTGACACAGAGCAGAGCCTGCGGTCCGTGGAGCGGCTTCCCACTCCCGGGTGTCAGCGTTTCCCCACGCCTCCACCACTGCCTCCCCACGCGTGAGCAGGCACAGGGGTCGAAGCCAGTGTCAGAAGGGTGGGCCCTTCCTCTGCACCTTGCAGCAGCCTGGAAGGGCGGCTTCAGAAGGGCCGTGGGATGGGGAGCACACACGCAGCCAGAAGGCATTGAAAATGCTCAAGCTTCAACAGTAAAAATACTGACAAGCCACCTGGAAATGGGCTGAGTACAGGCACAGACATTCCCACTGGAGAGGATGTACAGGTGGCTGGGAACCCCATGGAGAAGGGTCAGCGTTGGGAAGGTGACATGTTACAGCCACCTGGAAAGCAGTCTGGCAGCTCCTCAGGAGAGCAGAGGAGGTAACCACACAATTCACTGCTGACACTTGGGCATTTCTCACCCAGTAAAGAAGATTTCTGATCTCACAGAGACATGGACACAAACATTTACAGCAGCCTTGCTCCTGAGATCCCAAACTTGAGACACCCCAGCTGTCCATCAGCAGGTGGCAGGGAGAGCAGCCACAGTGCACACATGCTGGGGGTACTGCTCAGCGGTGGAAAGGAGTAAATGGTAGCATTTGCAGAACCGTGGACAAATCTCAAGGGTATCATACTGGTGGGGGAAAGCCAGTGCAGAGGTTTACGCATCTATTTCCCCACTTAATTCTTCTGATAATGGTGGATGGAACAGTGGGGGCTAGGGGTAGCAGTAGGGGTCATGGTGGTAGAAGGAGGTGGATGCGATTATTTAAAAAAAAAAAACAGTGAAAGGAAGGGTCACAGCTTGACTGCGGTAGAGGATACACAGACCTACACAGGTGGCAGGATTGGACTGTCATTAAGACACACACTGTTAGGACTTATATCTAGATGTCCCTCCAAAGCCTCGTGCGCCCACAGGTAGGGCTTCTGAGAGGTGACTGGATCGTGGGTGTGTGACACTGGATGCGTCTACTGATGGGGTTTTATCTGGGTATGATGTTGGGAGGTGGAGCCTGGTGGGAGGAGGTGGCCCGCTGTGGGTGTGGCCTACAGGGGTCTGTCTCCCTCCTCCTTCCTTGATCCCTGGTTGCTTCCCATCACCATGCCATGACCTCTTTCTCCTCTGTCATGTCTCTCTGCCATGCTGTCCTGCCTTGGAATCAGCTGATTGTGGACTGGAACTTCTACAAACTGAAACTGAAGATAAACCTGACTTACTTTTACTTGTGAGTGTTGGGTATTATGAGCCAGCAGCAAGAAAGCAGCTAAGACACACAGATGCAATATTAGGAAAGATAAATAAAATTGGGGAATCTGAGTAAAATCACTGGACCGCATCAATGTCAATATTCTACATGTGACGCTGTGGTACGGTGTGACATTTTGTAGAATGTGAAGTGTATGTGGGACACTTCTGTGTTTTATCTTACATCAACCTTCAGGTTGGTGCCACAATTTTACAGACAGGCCCTAGCTAGGCCCAGAGGCACATACCTGTAACGTCAGTACTCAGGAAGCTGAGGCAGGAGGATCATCATGAAGTCAGCTTGAGCTACACAGTGAGTTCAAGGCCACCCTGGACCACATAGTGAGACCCCCCTCTCAAAAAAAAACAAAGAAATAAAAATAAATAAAAATGGGTCCTCTTTGCTTTGAATGATCCTATAGTACATTAATTTCAGCTGCATTGGTTTAGTTCATGAGCACTAGTTCCCAGCACCATGGCTCAGGTTTAATAGGCCACGGCATGGTAATGTGACTGACCCACAAGTAAAATTCACTGCGAGGGTTGGCCATGGATCACTAGTGAAAGAACAGTCACACATGACAGTCAGTGACACATCTGTGACCTCCTCAAAGTTGGTCATTGGTGGGTCTTGGGGCTCCTTTATTTTGCACGCCCATAAGACAAAGGGTGCCTCAGTCTCCTCGTGGCTTCCAAAAACAAAGTAGAAAAAGATTAAAATAAACCCCATGCAAAAAGAAGAAAGGAAATAAAAAGTAGGCAGCTACGAAACTGTAAGCAGAAACACAGAAAAAATCAATAAAACAGGAAGTCAGTTCTTTGTCTCACCCGGCGTTAGGCAGATATATGTAGCACATAAAAAGTACATATTCCTGTGGGGCTGGGGATTTAGCTCAGCAGCACAGCACCTGCCTGGCAAGCGCAAGGTCATGAGTTCAATTCCTGGTACCAGAAAAAAAAAAAAAAAAAAAAAAAAAAAAAACCAACCAAACAAAAAGTACTTATTTCTGATGTTCAACAGGATGGTTTCATATAGATGGAGTTTGTGACAAAAACAATTGAATCTTTGAAAATATCAATGAATTTGGCAAATTCTTGCAAGACTGAAAAAAAAGAGAAATAATTTGCTACTACTGGAAATAAAATAGGAGATAAATCACAGACCCTGTAGACCCCCAAGGGCAAGGAAGCTGGTAAACAATCTGCACTCCCAGACAAGACCTGGAAAACACAAATTACCACAACTCACCCTGGATGAACCACATAATTTGATCATCTCTGCAACTATTAAAGAAATCAATCTATAATTAAATATTGCTGAATCCAAAGTTTCCAGGGAAGCCCACAGGGGCACTCTACCAAAGCTCTAAACAGAAATTGGCATTGACTTTAAAAAGTGTCTCCAGGAAATAGAAGGTGAGGAACACTCTCCAGATTATTTCAAGAGGTTGGTGCTGCCCTGGCACCAGAGTAACAGAAACGAAGCACACGAAGGAAACAAAACCAGAGCTCTCCCGAGTGCAGAGCATGTCACACGTTGGCAAACAGAGCTCAGCAGCTCTGATACACAGTGGCTGAGGGAGTCTGCTCAGGAGATGTGAGACTCGCTCAATACCTGCAAGTCCATACGCAGATCCATCCTGCTAAACAGATTAAAGGAGAGAGAGGGTGCAGTCGTGCCAGCTGGCTCAGGAAACATCACACAGTGGTGCTGTGGACCGAGTATGAGTGGCCTAACCCCCAAGGCAGTGGTATCAGGAGGAGAGGCCGTTGATCGTGAAGGCGCAGCCCTCATGGATGGGATCTGGGCCTTGTGCAAAAGACCCCAGCTCCCTCAGCCTTCCCTCCATGTGAGGACACAGGGAGAGCACCATTTATGAACCAGGAAGCAGTCCTTACCACACAACAAATCTGCCAGCGCCTTGACCTGGGACTTCTCAGCCTCCAGAACTGTACAGCATTTAAACTGCCCAGACTATGGTATCTTTGTTATGGCAGCACAAGTGCACTAAGACAAGTGGGGTGGATGGAATGGGGAGGAGAAGTTGGATGGATGGATAGATGGATGGATGGATGGATGGGTGGATGGGTGGATGGGTGGATGGATGGATGGGTGGATGGGTGGATGGGTGGATGGATGGATGGATGGATGGATGGATGGATGGATGGATGGTTAGATGGATGAGTGAATGGATGGGGGGAGGGGAAGATGGTAGATGTCATGGTTTGTGTCTACATGTCCCCCAAAGCCTCATGCAGTCTTAGATAGGGCTTTTGCAGAGGTGGCTGAATTTAGAGTGTATGATGCTAGGATTAAGGGTGTGTGATTAGTAAATCAGGCCACTGATTGGTTTGGCATAGTTCTGGCTAGGATTAAGAGTGTGAGTGCCAAACCTACCCTAGGGCAGGTAGCCTGCATACAATATAAGGGACAGAAAGAATCTTATCTCCCTCCTTTGTTGCTTTTTCTGCCTTCTGCCAACATGAACTGCTCTCTGAAAAGCCACCCTGCCCTGGAGCCAGATGATTATAGACTAAAACCTCTACAAACTTTGAACTAAATAAACCTTTTCTCCTTTAACTTTAAATGTTGGGTATTTTGCCTCAGCAATGAGAAAAGTATCTAAGATGGCAGATGGATGGATGGATGGATGAATGGAATGAAGGGTGGATGGATGGATAGATGGATGGATGGGGTGGATGGCAGATTGATGGATGGATGATGGATGGGTGGATGGATGAAGGATAGATGGATGGTATAGATAATGGACTGATAGGTGGAAGGGGTGGAATGAGATGGATGCAATGGTTGAAATAAAGTCAATGGCATTTGCAAGGATCCTTCTTTGATATCACTTCTGCCCACCAAGCAGATTGAGCCTCTCCTTTGTAATTCTCTCAGTAGGATCACAACCTTGTAAGCAATGGGCATTTCACATACATAAGTGTTATGAAAACACATTAGTCACCAATCAGGGAGGGGTAATCTCTTGACAGGTAAGTAGACTGTATACCTCCCCATCACCTCTGACACGGTCATCCTCAGACAGCAAAGAAATTCAGTGTGGAGAGGAAGTAAAGTGAGGATGCCTTGGACCAGTACCAAGGCTCACCCTGTGCCCTGGGGCTCCTTCAGTCACAGGCACTGTTGACCCTGATGCTGGTGGCCACAGGGGATCCAACACCCCCAAGTAAAGGGAGGAAAGGTTTATTTAGCTCACAATTTGTAGAGATTTCAGTCCATAATCAGCTGGCTCCAAGGCAGGGTGGTTGGCAGAGGGGCACTGCAGAGGAAAAACAGTTCGTGGTGGGCAGAAGGCAGCAAAAGCAGGCAAGTCAGGGAACAACCACAGGTCTCTCTGTCCCTTGTATCTTATCCAGGCTACTTAGGGTGGGCAGCGGTCATACCATTAATCCTAGCAGCCCTAGATCCTAGTATTGCATCATGCATCAATCACACACCCTAGATCCGGCACCTCTGAAAAAGCTCCTCCTATGACTGCGTGAGGCTCTGGGGCCATCTAGATACAAGCAATAACAATGATCACACAGGGCTGGGGATTTAGCTCAGCGGCAAAAGCGCCTGCCTGGCAAGCGCAAGGTCGTGAGTTCGGTTCCCGGTACAGGAGAAAAACCAAAAAAAAAAACAATGATCACACAGAAAAGCAGCTGGAAGGAGAGAGGCTCCCCTGCCTGTGTGTGAGGCAGCAGGGGAGGAGGGGCAGCTCCTGAGTCCCCACCCAGGGAAATGCCTGGGTGGCTGCTGCATCCAACAATTACACCATGTCTTTATTGACCATGGCCACAGCAAACCTCAGGAGTTCAAGAGAAATGACTCCAAAATGGCAAAGGAGGTCACTCAGCCGGGAGCTGGGATTGGAATGGAATACTGCATTGAAATTATGGAGACAGTGATCTTGGGGGGATGACATTTCCAATTCCTTATCATTTCCATTTAAGCCTCAATCCTGATATCTTCAAGGGAGGCCAAGAGAACTGAAATATAACCCTGGGCCATAAGTAGCAGACAATCCAACTGAGGCCCCATGGGACAGCTCAGTAGCTGTTCTCTAACAGGCTCAAAACAACAGGTCGGAGTCCCAGCAGCCCCCAACCCATACGTGACCTCAGCCACTCTGAACTCTCACTGCCCTCGGCAGTGCAGCAAGGGCTAGTGTGGCAGAATCTGCTGTCCTGCCCCTGGGGCCCACGTGTTCCTTCCCTGATGAAGTACCTCGGTTCCCATTAGCGTTTCTGATTTTAAATGCATCCCCTTTTAGAAGAGAAAGATTGCTGTCAACCTCAGCAGCCCCCAACACAGGTCCCAACGCAGGCCCTGCTTTCTGCTGCCCTTGGGGCCTAGGAGGGAAATCAGCCTCCACTGACAGCCCTCACTGGACGGAGCCCCACTGTTAGTGCAGCAAGCCAGGTGACACTCAAGGTTACTGAGGACCCAGGGCACAGACACCATCCCACTGGACCAGACTGGATACAGCATCCTTCAGTGCCTGGAACATGGACCTTAGGACGGGGAGGCATACGTGGGATGGGTTTCCATGGCAACAGCATGCTGAAGAGCCCTGGTGAGAGGAAGGGCAGCAAGGACTCAGCTGCACATGGGCCACAGGCACCAAGGGAGGTGACCACCAGGATGTGGTTTCCATGGTGACGTGATGCTGAAGAGCTCTTTGCTATCCAGAGGGGCGGCAAGGACTCGGCCCACCCCCACCCCCAGGCCTGCACACTAGGTTGTTTGGTTCCTATTTTTTAAAAAAAGGATGCAAATCCCGATTCTTCTGTGGCATTTCCTAGTTTGCAGCCTTTCGTGACTCATTCAAATGCAGAAAATAAATAAAAACCAGCACACAAGCCAACCCATTCAGGACAGGAGAACTGTCTGCGGGCAGTGGTGAGGCTCCCTGCAGCTGCACGTCTCACGCTGAAGGCTCAGAGCAGTGTCCACGACTATAGGCGATACCAAGTGTAAACGACATACGTCGGGTGAGCCATTCTTATCCGCACAGGGCCACACTGGCAAGTGGATCATCACAGCGCATTTCCAACGGAAGGGGCCAGTTGCACACAGCCCTGGGCACCCCCATCCATCCCACCAGCCTTCCCCCATTCGGTCAGTGTGCAGGGGAGACGGTGGCCTGAGGCCCACGCCCTGGTGACTGCCATCTCCAGTCCCCTGCACCACCTCACTCACTCACCCTGGGAGCTGCTGCCACCCTGGACCCACACCCCGTGGGGCAGCACCCGTCAGTCCTCACAGCTGCCCTGCAGAAGCCCATCTGTGCCCCCTCAGCCCCAGGGGAGGTGGTGTTGGGTGTTGGGAGCGGCTGGAGCTGGAAATTGGTTATATGTGTGGAGGCAAGACAAGGCCACAGTGCCTGAAGCTGTCAAGCTACCTCAGCCTCGAGAAAAGCATCCTACATGGACAATCTCAGTCATTCGTTGCTAGGCAACATTGTGTCTCATAATACTAACTTTGCGAGTATAAATAAATGCCACTACTGTCGTTGGTCGTTCCTCTTCCCCATCTGGCAAAGAGGCCTCTGCCTGACCTCAGTTTTTGTCACTTGTCATTATTTTCTAAATCCCCTCACTGTTTTCTCCTAGGACCCCTGATAGACCACCAAGTCCCTACACTTGGGGCAGGGAGTGACTCACAGGTGAAAAAAGTACTTCGATATTTCTGTCTGCTGAGCCTCGGGGTTGTCAGCCAGGAGCTGGCCGCAGAGTGAGCAACACACAGCCACATTCCTGTTCCATAATGTCCCTTGACCTTCTCCTCATGCCCCCAGGATGGGTCAGGGTGCTGTCATGGAGCCACACACACACTGTGGATGGGCAGTGCCCACCTCCTGGTGGCCATGGGCACTCTGTGACTCCTGTCCAGCCAGGCAGAGCAGGACTCTGTTTGGTCCGGCTCAGGGGAGGCTGGACCTTTTCTCTCTCCTTGTCGTTTCTCCACAACCATCACTGGGGCTATGGGGCGTTCTGGTCGCATGCAGCACAAGGCGCCTCTCCACCAGTGCACAGCTGGCAGTGGCAGCCTTGTGGCCACTGAAAACTCCCTCTGCTTTTTCAAAAGTAAATACGCAAGTGAGTGGCCTGACCACAGGACGGCCATCTGACCCGAATCGCACCCACCTTAAGAGCCTTCACACCCGGAGGTGGAAACCTGCGGGCCACCCTGGAATTCTGCACAGCCTGTTGGGACCCCAAATGCTCCAAGAAAGGGCCAGCCACCCAGGCACACCACAGACTGGCCAGGGCAAGGGAGGAGCCGCCTGCGCCTCTGTCCTCCTCCTCTTCTTTCTCCCCTTCTTCTCTTCCTCCTCCAAGCTAGCACAGCCCACTCTGTGGGTTTCAGTGAGATTCAAAGCGGAAAATATCTTCCCAAGGGCCCACTGTGTCTGAACCTCTCTGCACCATGCATAATTACCTTCTGCCTTGGCCAGAGAGCCTGTTGCCCAGGAAAGAAAATTAAACTCTGAACACAAAGAGTCAGGTTAAGTAACGACAGGTGAGAGCGGGGAAACCACACACAGAGCTCCAGGCTGCAGCAGGGCCAGCCTGACCGGACTCACAGAGCAGCCCGGTTTAACTCCCCCAGGCACTGCCCGGGCAGAGACGGACGTCAATGGCCTCTGCAGGTGGAATCCTGAGAAACAGCCCCGTGCACGTTGCGTGCACATCCTTAAAACAAAGGACAAAAAAATCTAAGAGGAGAACAAGGCACCGTCTTCAGAATTTGCTTTGACTTTAAAAACTTGCCAGTCTGCCCAAAATGAAAGTGAGCACAGGTTTCTCTCTGCAGAGTAAAATTCGGTGAAGCCTCAGGAGAATCTCACTGGCCAAGTACCAAGAGCCTCTCGGCTCTGCAATGGAGTCAGCCGGTCTCTCACATCGATTCCAGCCCGTGGTCCCTCTCCTGCCCCAAGGAGCCCCTCCCCGCCCCACGCCTCCCCATTCCATTATTTCTAGAAGAACCAGGCCCAGGAGCTAGGGGGTCCCCACCTCCCTGCCCAGCAGGATTTCTTAAGCCTCAGAACTGGGCACAAAACAGCAACAAAATCACCTTCATCCCCCAGGTTTATTTCTGTTCTGTTTCGTCTGTCCTCTCAGATCTTGCATGCTTGTGATAGTTCTCCATCTTTTCCGAGGATGTCTGGCCCCCCGCTGTGGCTCTCAGCTGGAGGAACCACTTCCAAACCCCTATCCCCTCCCCTTGGCTGGATCCCACCCACACACCACGGGACTGAGGTGTCTGTGCCGCAGGAGACCCCAGACGGAGGCGCCACACTCCAAGGTGACCCGAGTTGACCCCTGCACCCATCCCAGCTTTTTTTTTCTTTTGTTTTTTGGTTTTCTTTTTTTCATCTTTTTGAGACAGGGTCTCACTATGCAGTTCAGGCTGGCCTCGAACTCACTTTGTAGCCCAGGCTGGCCTCGAACTCGAAACAATCCTCCTGCCTCAGCCTCTCAAGTGCTAGGATTACAGGTGTGTGCCACCACGCCCAGCCTCCCATCCCAGTTTTTCAAAATGGGCTTTGTAAAGGACTCCCAGTTATCATCTCAAAGCAGCCGGTGGGGCTGAGCCCAGATCCAGCCCTGGAGTGCCACCCTGGGCCAGGTGACCTTGGGGACCCTCAGGGATGAGGGCCAGAGAGCAAGGACGTGATGGATTTGTCCACCCACTCACTGGTGGTTACTCCCACACGCTTGGGTCTTTGTTGTTTTGAATTTCTATTTCATCTTTTCAGAGATGTCGTGAGCCCGCTGAAGTAAGATTAGCCGTCCCCTGAGGTTCCTTCCAGCTCCGAGAATCTGGCTTCATGGAATATTAAATAGGTTGTGGGCAAACAGGCTGATAAGGAGGTATTTTGTGAATCCTGAAAACACAAACATGAGACGAGTTCCACATCTCTGCCCTGTCCACTTGCTTGGGGCAAAAGTGCCCCCCCATGCCTGGCATGGGGTCCCATGTCCAACATGTGTCCAGTGGCCACATCAGAGCCCACCGCACACACACAGCCACCCAGCAGCGGTGTTGAGGGTCACCTGGGCTCAGAGGAGGTCTCCAGAGGCTGTGCAGGCCTCCAGAGTGCCCTCTCCTTCACCCTGTCATTCTTTCCTTCCTCATCCCTGGGGCTGTCCGGATTGCCCTCCCTTCTTTGTGTGTAGACCACAGATCTAGGTGTGGAGGAGGAAGTGCCGCCATTACACTGCAATCTTGAGTGGTGTTATGGTTCAGATCTAAAGCAGCCTCCAGAGCCTGGTGTGCTTGGAAGGTGATTAGGTTGCAGGGTTTGTAGCTGACTTCCCGCTCAGAGGTGGCGTCTGGCCCAAAGAGGGGGTCACCAGGCGTGGCCTGGAAGGGTACATCTCCCTCTCACTCCTCCCTTCTCTTCTGCTTCCTGTCCATCATTCTGTGAGGGGCTTCCCTCCCCTGAAACCCTTCTACTGTGCCATCCACCAAGCAAGGACTGGAACTTCTAACACGTGAGCAGAGGCAAACCTCTCCTCCTGAAAGCTGTGAGTGTTGGGTATTTTGTCCCAGTGATGAGGCAAGTGACCAAGTCAGCAGCTACCAGTCCTGGGGTCGAGGCTGTGGTCCCTGCCTCCTAGGATTTCCCACACCTTCCGATTTCTCTCCATGGCTCAATGCTTGTAGCTTGTTTGGTTCATATTTGTTTATTTTTCCACCTGCCAGGAGTCTCTGAGGGACACTTCGCCCAGCCTTTCCACTTCCTCACATGGTCAGACCCTTCCGTCTTACTAAGACAAAAGTGGGCGGGGGGACCCAGACACCCAGAACCTAGTTCTCACATGTGCACTGTAAAGAGCATTAAAATAAATGAATGAGAAACCAAAGACCCTCAGTTCGCACTCTGCAAATGTTTCATAGCTGAGACGGGCTGGTTCCAATTAAAAAGGCTGCTGGGACTCAAGGTTTTGTTTCTCTTGAGTCCTGTATGGTATGAGTGTTGTCATCAGCTCTATTTGCATTTAATAGGGATGAATCCAATGGACAAATGAGATCGAGATAAAAACACATTAGAGGCGTTTGTTGAAGTCAAGCAGCCAGTTTAAGCGACCCAGGGAATAAACAGTTCCAACTGTATTTCGTGTCATCTAGAATTAAGCAAATGCTTTACATTCAGCTTGCGCTGGCTTGGTCTGATTTCTGTGAGTGCACATCACTTCTGGGGAAACTCGATGCTGCCCGTCAAGCCTGGGCTGGGATGTGACCTCTGCACCCCACACACCCTCTCTGTGGTGTCTTGGTGGTGGTGGTGGTGCTGGTGGTGGCTACATAGGTAAGAAGTTCCACGGCAGCTCACACAAGTGGCTCCCTCTGGGAGTTTCCCTGTTAGGAATCAGAGGACGACCCAAGCAGGGTGTCCTGGGTCCCGTGTGACACCTGGTGTTTGGGTTTTGCTGAACAGAAACACATGCCAGCCTCATGAGGAATCCAGGGCTTTCACTTGTGGTCCCAGCTCTCATCCTTCATGCAGAAAGTGTCCTCAGGCCAGCAGACAAGGTCAGGATCAGAGAGTCCAGGATCGGAGAGACATGCTAGGGAAAAAACTCCCTTAGCCTTTGGAGCAAGTCAGTGCATCTCATTTCGATGACTCTGAAGCCTGATTTGCCTTCCCTGGGGTTAGGGCAGGGGCAGCCGCAGCTGAGCTCACAAAGGATGGGTTCAGCGTCCTTCTCAGCTTGGAGTGAGCAGCATCGCTCACCCCGAGGGGGCGGAAGGAGAGGAGCTGAGATCTTGTGGAGTCAGAAACGGCTCAGCCTGAGGAAGCTTCAGAAAACTCCATCACAAACTACATTAATACTGCCATTAAATCCCAGTGGCTTTAAATCAATGGCAACATGAAAGACACCCCTGGAGTGGATGAGGCGTGAAAGACAACGCTGTCGCCCTGTTGACGGGACTTGGTCTGTCTCCAAGAGCCTGAAAGTTCTGACTCCACCCTGTGCCGTGGGCCACACAGAAAACAAATACCCAGCCCCTCCCAGCCCAGGCGCACTGGGGCAGCTCAGCCTCCTTCAGAACAGCTCCTCCTAAGGCCCTGGGCACTCTGGGAACCCAGCATACTCCCAGGTGCCAAGCACCCTCCATACGACCCCACATCCAGGGCTTGGTGACATCGCCACAGGCAGCCCCACCAGGGCCCTCCTGATGCCTCAGCCTTGGCGGTGCTCTGGTCTCCCTGCACCTGCGTCACTGAGGAGGAGGCTGGTCCCGAGCTCCGTGGTCCTGGGGCTTGTGGGGCTGGGGGCTTTGCCTCCCAGACAAGGTTATAGGGACCCTGAGCAGCAGAGGACAGCTGGGGCGACGTAGCCCTTGCTCCTGACATGGGTCTTCTCTTGTGTTTTGTCATTGAACTCCCTTGGGTTTCCTCCCAGTGAGGATGTCACACCCACAGCTGACCACGCTGTGTAGACAAAATTCTTCTCAGGGCCCTCAGCCTTGTTCAGTGCCCTTGGGGCCGAGCCTTTGAGGGTGCCCTCACTCACTTTCTCTCCGGCTTGGCCCACGAGGAAGCCCTGTCTATGCCACCACACCCTGGTCCTCCCAAAGTGTCCTAGCATGGGGGCCCACAGCCATGCAGCCTCACATCACATGCTGACGGGTCTTCTGGGGCACACGGCCCATACCTGCCTCCCTCGCCACCTGCACGGCCACCACCCCACCCAAGCCACTGTCATCTGTCACTGGACACAGCCTCGTCCTATGGTGGCCAGTCAGGCTGCTCCCTAGCATGTGCCCAGAGCAGCCCCTCCCCGCGGTCCCCGCAATCCCCATCTCCCTGCTGCCCTCTCTGCCTCCCACCTGGGCCTTGAGTTATGACATTTTTAATTAAATTGCTTTGCCCCAGGCACTTCACTCAAAAAGCAATCCCTCTAATTGCTCGTTTGGGGATGGACATGCTAGTGCCTTGATGCGGGCCTATGGCTATGTTAGCAGAAATTAAATGTCTACATCTCTACACCCTAATTGCTTGTACCCCTGCAGACAAGCACACACACGGACTGCGTTCTTCCCTGAGCCCCATGCCCACTCCCCATTCAGCCCTTGGGCAGGGTCACACCTGCCCGAGTCCCCACTGTGGCTCAGCGGATCCCCACAGGGAAACAGCTCACCTGCACCCAGGGCTGGCTGCACAGGCGTCCATGCGCAGGTCACACGGCCCGAGTCCCGTCACAGGCATGGACGGGGCAGGAGCCTGTGACAAATGTCCCAGTGGTTCAGGGAACCCAGAAATCCCACTGATGCCTCCCCATCAGCCCTTGACACGTCATCCAACTTCTCTGGCCTGGAAACTGCCTGAGTCCGGCCCACTCACACCACAGCACACAGGACAGCCTGCACGGACTGGGGACCCGAGCATGGCCTTGGATGTGGACCCCAGCATGTCCCATCCCCCTT